GTAAGCTGCCAGGAAGATGCTCGGAGGTTACTCCCAACACGGAGCTCCCCTAGCGGCTGCTTCCCTCCCGCTTTCCCTGCGTGGATAGAAACACCCCGGTCGGGATTATCCCCACTCGTGACCAGAAGGAAGTGGCTGAAAAGGGATGCAGATCACAAACCAGGAAGGAAAAAAAAGTGATAATCATTCCTACCTGGGGCATTTGGTATGGGAAAATGTTGGGTTATTCAAGGAGAAGCGAAAAGACCTAAAAGAGAAATCTAAGGGTTTCTCTATAAAATCAGACACGATGTATTGCTCTGCTGAGGATATAAGGAATCCTGTGGGAAAATCTGCTTTAAAGTTTGGGTTAACAGCAAACATACACACAAAACATAGGTAACAATGTCTTATGAATCATGCTGCCTACATTATTTTTTGCATGTATTATGGAAGGCTTTATTGACCATATTCAAGCCAATGATTAGCATTAATCCACAAGCAGATAGATATGAAAACTGCAAAATTGATGCATGTAGACACAGTTATTCTGGAAAGCAACCATTTTCTGCCTCTACATATGCACAGAATATTGTTTTTCCTGTAGCAGAAATGCTTATAGACTATTGCCAGACTAAGGGCATATCAAAGCAGATACCAGGCTTCAGCTGCATCACTCCCTGAATTTTGCTGACAAACCAAAATGGGTGGAAAACCTTGAGCTTAATTGTCCTGGTTGGTGCCAGGGTTTTGGGTTTTTTGGAAGGAAATTCCAAGGAATAAGACCTGTTCTGCTTGTCACTGTAAAGGTATACTTGCCAGCTAGCCTGTGATTCTGAAATGAAATTTCTAAGTTGATTTTCAAGATATGTATTGCAATACCACCAGGATTGGCAATGAGGGATGTGCAACAATTCCTTCAAATAAAATAGTTTAACATCTTCACAAAGGAGGGTGGGGTATATAAAAGAAACAAACAAAGCTTCAGATGAAAAGCCTGTCTGAGTCTCCTTCCATTTACACCAGTTTTACTCCAGCGTAACCTCTGGTTTCACTGAAGTTAGTCATGATTTACTTCTCTGTCAATGATCGCTTCGGTCCCAAATTTCTTGGGAAACATCACAGGTGCAAAGAGGCTACGAGAATGAAGCTTTAACACTCTAAAAATGGATAATTTATTAAAAAATCATATATTAAGGGTGAGCACAAATGGTGGCTGTTAAGGGCGATAAGTAGTTAAGACCTAGTTAAAAGCTACACAAACATTTGCCTCTCCAGTTTTCTGAGGGAAACATCCTGTATTTTGGGATTCGTCAATCAAAATATATTGGCACGAGAAAACTCAGGGAGCTTAAAATGGCCAATGAGCAACCTCGCTTGTGCGGTCTGAACCCTTCCCTGGCTTTATGCAGAGCAAAGAGCAGGCAGCAAGTCTACATTTCAAAAAAAAAAAAAAAAAGAAGATAAATAATAACTGAGATTCTCAAATAGCTTGGCCTGGGCCCGGGTGCGCCTACTGCCGCCTCTCCTCAGCCCGGGCCCCATGGGGATGGCCCAGGCCAGTGTGGCCCCACAGCCCCATGCATGGCCCAGCAGGGTGAGGGAAGCCTTGGAGCTGCCACGGGGTTTGGCAGAGCCACTGGAAGAGCCCGTACGTCAGCAGGGAAAGCCGGGCCATGGGTCTGTGGTGGATGCTTGCACAAGAGCAAGAAAATTAGGGCTCCATGGAGTCAGTGGTAGATGCTCCTGGGACTGTGGTGCTTGCTGCACCCAGGAGGACCAGGGGTCCTGATGACCCAAGGGGCTCCCCACCACCGCACCAGGGCTTTGGGGCCTGACAGGGAGCCCCGTGGCAGCTCCATAAGGAACCCAGCTGTGCAGGCAGGGGTGGTGGAGCAAGTGAGTCTGCACTCAGGGGCCTTCCCCGGTACCCTCACCCTGGGCAGTCCTGAAGGGACCCTGGGGGGCGCTCCCCATGGCGGGCAGCAGTGGCTTTGGTTTGTGGTAGCATGGGCAGAGGGGTGCAGAGCATCCCCCTCTCCCCACCAGAAGACAGGGACAGCCCCAGCCTCCCTCCCCAAGGAGCAAAAGAGCGGCCTGCAGGTTTGGGGGACAACAGGACGCAACATTGATTTTTATAATCCACGGCTGAGGGATTAATCCCTCTAAAGAAGGCATCAGTGCCCGACCAGTGGCTGTTGTTGTTGCTTGGTTTGGGGGTTTTGCTGTTGTTGTTGTTGTCAAAATGTGAGTGCGGGCAGGGATGGGTGTGCGTCGGGCACTGATGCAGCACTGGGCTGGGGCTGGTGGGTGTGTGCGGCTGGCGGTGCCAGGGACAGGACACCCGTCGGCGGGAAACGTGCTCCAGTGCCTTTACCCGCTGGTCTGAGTTTGGGGAGACTTGGGGGTTATTTTTCCCCAGAAGCTGTGGCATTTCAAGGAAAAAAAGAAAAAAAAAAAAAAATTAATAAATAAACCCCACGGCAACAACCCAGTATGTTCATTGCTACAAATATAAATACATTTAGCAATAATCCTCTCTTTTTTCCTATCTTGTTTTCATTGTCTCCAGCCTGCGCTGAAACTGAGCAGACCCTCCCCGCACCCCCCAGCTCTGCTTTCTTTCACATCTAATTTGATAGGAGGGTGATTTCAAGCTTCCCACAGTTACAACTTTTCTTGATTTCTCCCTTTGCCCCCCCTCCCTGCGCATTTATTACTTGCATTTAATTAATTCCTTCTTTGCGTTTCCTTTCCTGTTAATCTTTGGGTGACTGCTTTGTACATATGGCAATCTGATAATGAGGGAGTTTATCCTTATTCTCTATACTTCTTCATTGCGATGTCCACCCGTCTAGTGCCTGGGATATCGATCAGCTTTCCTTGGGGAGGGGGACAAGGTAAGAGGGGTGATAAAAGATTTGCAGTATCCCACACCATTAAGAATAGCTTTTATTCCTTGGCACTGTTTAATCAACTGTTATATCAAGTCATGCTGTTTAAGCAACCACATCAAAAGAACATACCCTCTTTTGTATAAATTATATATTCCTTGTATCTGTCTTCTCACATGCACGCAGACGGGGAGATAAAACTTAAGTTTGTTTTTTAATAGCGTGAGGCAGGTATTTAGCTGTTATACAACTTGTTTCTGCAACTAAGTTGCCTGATAAAAACCTAGAAGCCAAGCTGCTGACTTTCTAACTTTTTACCCATTCCCAAGTCAAAACTCCTAAATTTAAAGCTCGGAAAGAGAAATCAACGATTCACTGAAACTCTACAAAGAAACACAAATAGCAGAAGAAAAGCATAGGCTAAAAAAGAGGGAAGAGCACCAGTTAGAGTCGGTGTGAGAGCTTCGGATCGCTTCTTTCGGCTCTTTTCTAAAGTTTACGCAGAAAGGCCACTTTGTCCCTTGTAAAGTCCAAGCTGCCCCGCTTGTTACAGTTTACGGATATACAACTTTTTTACCACTTAAAAACTCATTTTAAAGTCCATTTTCACATGGTTTAAGTTGATTACGACTCAGCTCGATGTCACAGACCGGAAAACTCCCGTACAATTGCTCGCCCAAAGAGCTTCTTTTTTTTTTTAAAAAAAAAAACTTAAATAAAGTTGATTTTTTTTGTTTTTCTGAGAGGGTGGACTTTGAATTACTTCAGCGTGTCGCCCTGGCATTTTTAAGAACTCTTACAAAACTCCTGAAACTTTCTAGATCCTAGGACAAATTGTATTTTCTTAGGAGCAAAAGTAAATGAGCTCTTTACAGGCAGAGAAGTGTTTGTTCATATGGGACTCTGCTTTTCTGTCTAACCTGCTCTATCAGCCCCATCTCTGCAATTTTGCTCGTCTCTCAACACCTTTGTCTGATTAGTAGCTTTTGGAGATCGGGATAAAGACATCACTTGCCACGCTGCATGAGATAACAATTAATTTAACATTAAACTTATCCCCTTTCCATTCACTTTGCTTGGATCGATCTCTGTTAATTGTGTTTGCGGATGCTTTCAACACTATGCTTTTCTTAAAAACTTAATGACACCCCGCAAGGAGGTGTAAGAGTCTAAACCGCTTCTCTTCGACTTCGACCAAAGAAACAAAGAATATAGCCCCAGCGTGCTCAGGAGACCATCTATTTTTCATCAGTTGACTTTTCATGCACTTCTGAAGGTACAACGTTATTTTAAGTTAGTCCTGCTTTTATTTTTTTTTTAAAAAGTGCCATTTAGGTCTCTCCACGTTGCAGTTGTGCGATACACAAGTCAGACACGCTAACTTCATATAACTGCCGCCTCGCATCAGACTTACTTGTTTGTGCCTTTAAAGCAGTCATTTGTCAGCTAAAAGGCGAGTGTGTTTAGAAATGTATGTCTTTAGGAGGGAGAGCAATCTCCCTTTTCGAGGGGAAGAAACCTGTTACAAAGCCACTTAGGTGGGTGCGCTCTTAAATGGCATTATTCCCCCCCGGGCGTTAATATTTCCCCAATATGTTTCTATTTGTACGGCTCCCCGATAATTCGGCATTTTATTTAACCGCAACTGCCCTTAGAAACTTGACTTGCACTGAGGCAGCCTGCTAATCTTATTTATTTTTTTTTTCTCTTTCACAGAGGCATCTGTTCCTCTTGCTGACAAATGTACCATTCTGCCAAGAAAGTTTTTGAAAAAAAAAAAAAAAACAACCCAGCGTGTAATTGATGTTATCCCAAGAAAGCGCGATCTCCACCCCTCTCAGCTCCAAGCCCTTCAGGTAAAAGGAAAAAAAAAAAATCTTTCAAGAATTTGTTGCCTTTTTGAGGGTTAAAACATCAGAAGACAAGCTTGTCTCGCCTTGGCCAATCAGCTCTCGGCCCTGGCAGCTATAATATAGAACTAAAGGCAGACTCCTCTCACAAGCGTCTTGCTTTGCTACCATTAAAATCAGACCCTTTTTTTGTCTCTCGATTGCTGTCTCCCGACCAAACTCCGATGTGTTCCGTTATCAGCGACCTAAAGCCTGCCATTCCAGCACCTGTCTTGCTAGGGATCGGTGGATAGTATACGATTCAGAAAGCAGACAAGGACATAGGAGGAGAGAGAGCTCTAGAGAGACAGCCAGGGATAGGCACAGAGAGCTTTGAAGTAATTGGATTCAATGGACGAAATGCTGCTGTTGACAAGAATTCTCTTGGTGGGCTTCATCTGCGCTCTTTTAGTCTCCTCTGGGCTGACTTGTGGACCAGGCAGGGGCATTGGAAAAAGGAGACACCCCAAAAAGCTGACCCCTTTAGCCTATAAGCAGTTTATTCCCAATGTGGCAGAGAAGACCCTAGGGGCCAGTGGAAGATATGAAGGGAAGATCACAAGAAACTCCGAGAGATTTAAAGAACTAACCCCAAATTACAACCCTGACATTATTTTTAAGGATGAAGAGAACACGGGAGCTGACAGACTGATGACTCAGGTAGAGCCACAGAGATACCTGTATTTGTGTTTGTTAACCTCTCTGAGCAATCCTAAAGGACATATCTGTCTTAGTATTTTTGAAAGCCCCCCCCTTTCCCTCTCCCCCTCCTCTCCCCCCCGCCTCCCCCCGCCCCTCCAAACTCGGCTAGTTTCCCCCATTGAATGTAAATACCATCTATCCAGACAAGTTAGCAGGGGCTGGAGCTGGAGCTATCTAGATATTTGGTGGGGGAATCTGTGTGATACTTACAGTCATTACCGTGCCATGGCGTTCCCTGTAACTTGGTTAGAGATTGCTGTTTGCATTTGTCCCCAAGGATGCACTTTGATCAAACGAATTGCATACAGCTCAGAGGACCCCCAGTGTATAGTGACCGCCAGGCCACTCACTCATTATTACAAACGTAGTCCTCGGTTGCTACGCCTGCTGACTTGATTTTTTTATATATATTTTATTTAATTTCTTTCTTTTTTTTTTCTTCATTTCATTTTAGCCGTCATTATTATTTTTTTTCCTCGCGAGCATATTCTAAATTTAGTAGGCATGTAGCCGTGCACTCACAAAAGGCAGCTGAAGCCGGATCGACTATTCCTCTCCTGATTCCGTATTATATAGCTCGTATTGCAATACCATCATTTGCAATTGTGCCCATCAGAGCGTAAATATATTGATATTTCTTTAAGGATGCTCGCCACCAATGCTCTGGTACTTCCATAGGGGAGGGACTTGCAACTTATCGGCATTGCATCACCTTCTGTTTTAAAAAATCTGATGGCACAAGGTTTACAACTGGGTAAATATTGGATCTCGGGTGGAATCAGATTGCGGAACCATTTTATGCAAAAAAAAAAGAGAGAGAGAGAGAGAACCTCTCCGAGAGTCACCTCATAATTATTATTCATGCTCAACAGAGAGCTCGGTGAAGTCGATTGCTCTGCCAATCCCGGAGTTTCTGAAACTACATGCAATCTAGACACTGGAAATGGGTTTCCTCCAAATATAGGTCAACAGCGCTTTTTTTTAATACATACATTTAAGCCCCACCTTCAGTGCTACAACAGGACTCGCCTGGAAGGACTAGGCGGGGAGTGGACGCGGGGAAGGGGGGGTGGGGGGTGGAATTTCCCAAACTCTCCCCGTTCCCCGGCCTGATTTTCCGCACGTTTGCCGGGTCTCCCGGG